GGGGGCGGGGCTCCCCGGGGAGGGGCAGGGCCCTCCCGAGGGAGGGGCGGGGCGTCCCGTGGGACGGGGCGGGGCTCCCAGGGAGGGGAGGCCCCCCCCCCGCCGCACACCTGGAGCCCGCAGAGCCAGACCATGCTGTACATCATCTGGGCGACGCAGAAGCAGTGCCGGAAGTTGTGGAAGGGGTTGTTCCGGTAGTTGTCGTGCACGCAGAGCTGTGGGATGAGAGGGCAGGGTCCAGCCGCCGCCCCGTCACCCGCCGCCCCTCCAGGCTCCGGGCACTTTGTCCCTGTCGCCAACCGCCTGCTCCCGGCCTGGGCCTCCCGTCTCCCCAGGGTGCGGACAGGGGGCCCTGGAGCCTGAGGGCGTCCTAGGGCCACGCTGTGGCTTCCACTCTGGGCCTGTGGACTGAGCCATCCCCAGAGGGGCCATCCGGGGACCTGAAGCTGGGAGGGGGCTGGGGGTACGTGAGGGGCTCCAGTCACCAGCAAACCTTCAACACGCTTATAATGTTTGGTTCTCAGCAATACTGTGTTTCAAAGAAAGATCTGCTGCGAAACACACACTCCTTTACATACGTACCGGTATCCTTCCCCACATGTACACCTCACACACGCATACACACACGTGTACACACCACAGATACACACTCACATGCTTACACTTACACATGTACCACCACAAACACGCAGGCACCTGCAATCACAATTGTGCACACACCCCACATGTACACATGCATACAGTCACAAATGCACACGCACACATGCTCACACATGCACACACACACAGACACACGCGTGCATGACACCCCCCCAACACACATGCTGCCTTGTGCATCCCCATCAGGGAGGCACCCACGGGCCATTCCCGTGGGACTCTGTGAAACCGTGTGCAGGGTCAGGAGGGCCTGACACTCACCAGCCATCTCTTGAGCGTGACAGGGTTGATGCTGAAGTCTCTGACCAGGCCCAGGTCGTGGTACATGTGCTCTAAGCAGCTGAGCATCTGCGGGCACAGAAGCAGGACGGTCAACAGCATGACCGGGCCAGGCTAGGCCCCCACGGCCCGGGAGAGCCTGCAGGAAAGCCGGGTGGCTTCCCCAGGCCCCTCCTGGGGGTCCTGGAGAGCGAAGCCTGCTGACTGGGGGTTTTCAGGATCCTCCAGAAGGATGTGGGGGCTTGAAAGAGCAGTCGGGGTTCAGAAGTCAATGGGATTCTCTGCAGGAGGGGACACGCCGGGTGAGAGGGACACTGCACCCAATGGCCGCACTGGAGAGGATTTCACTTATTTATTCACGTGAGGAACCACCTCAGGGGGTCGGCATCACAGTGTGAGGTTCGGGACTCAGTTCCATCCTCAGCAGACCTGGCCCTGGACGTGCCTGAGGCTGGGAGACGGAGGAGCTCGAGGACGCACATCCCAGACGTGCGGCACCCCGCTCCCCAGGGGCCCCCGGCTGCGGGGTCACGCTCTTTAATGTGTTAACTGCAGTGCCCAGAAGCCGGCCCTCCTTCTGGGGCACTTCCCCTCTGAGCTGCCTTGTCCAGAAATCCCCGCTCAAGCTGGAACTGATTTTGTTTCCAGTCCCAAAGAGGATTCATGGTTGCCATCTGTTTAAACACCCCTCAGAGCTTCGCGTCTAATTAGGCTAGGGAAGAAAGATTAAACGATTTTTAAAAAGTGAGAGTTTGACCCAGTGGCTCTGCTTTCTGGGAAGGCAGGTCTTGGGCGAGAGCCCAGGGGGAATGGGGATCTGCCAAGCTGGGATGACACAGAATCAGCCGGGGGCACAGGGCAGACACCGGCTGCACTCTCCCCACCCCCCGGTCCCGCCCCGTGCCCTCCGTCCGTCCCGTCACCCGCCGCCCCGGTGTCTGCACAGGCGCTGCTTCCTGTCTGCCTCTGTTCGCCGGATGACCTTCTCCTCCCAAAGGGTGTCTCAGGGGCTGAACTGTGACCCCTAAATCACTGTGTTGAGGCCCTGACCCCAGTGAGACAGTTTGGAGAGAGGACCTTGAAGCAGGTGACTGAGGTGGGCCCTCGTCTGCTAGGACTGGTGTCCTTATGGGAAGAGACCAGGACACAGACACGCACGGGGGACGACCACGTGAGGACACAGGAGGAGACGGCCGTCTGCACGCCGAGGGGAGAGGCCTCAGACGGAACTGGCCCTGCCCACACCTTGATCTTGGACTTCCAGCCTCCAGACGGTGAGAACAGGTTTCCCCTATTCTTCAGAAGCCCCCACTCCGCTCCCTCAGCGCCTGCGGTGTTTGTTACAGGGCACACGTTGCGGGAAACTCATTTCCACTTGTTGCACAATGTAGGAGAACTGGACACACAAGTCAGGTGCGTTTTGCAAATCCAACGCCATAACCAGGCGTCAGTGCCCATGAAAGGAACACCTTAGGGAGCAGAGGCTTCCGTGGCATCACAAAGAGTCCACCCGGACAACTGGAAACCGCCCCCCTGCCCCGCTCCCCCATGCAGTGGGAACTGGGGTGATGTCCCAGATGGAAAGTCCCTGAAGGTAACCACACACCCGTCGTCCTCGAGGGGGCAGCACACGTGCAGACTGGGCCCGGGGCTTGGACACCAGAGCCTTGAAGAAGCCCCTTACAGGACGGTCAGGGTGCAGGGTCCCGGCCTGAGGACGGGAGGGCTGGTGTCCAGGCTGCTGCCCGGATCCCCCTAGCTTTGCCGGCAGCTCTGTCGCCAGCCAGGGGGCTCACTGTCCAGAGCTTCTGGTCCCCACATCGTCCTCGATGCTGGCCCTTGGGACTGGACGCTATAGCTCTGATCTCTCACCGCCTGACACCTTTGCTCCACCCGCCCATTCTGGGTTCTGGGCAACCCCGAGGAGCTGAAATGTTTGCTGTGAAATCAGAGTCAAGAAGCGGAGGTGACGGGCAGACGAAACCATCTGGTGCCGCTTGCATGGCGGCTCCGGAGCAGGAGTGACACGTCTGTGCATCTGCTCTCGTGCTGGCGGCCCGGACGCGGCGGCGGGTCGGGGTCTGGGCAGCCGGGTGGTGGAGAGCGTGGAGGACGCCTGAGAGACCGGAGGCCCCGCAGCTGCAAGCTGGCGCTCAGCCACCTCCGTGTGGGGTGTGTGATCAGAGGGCGCCGGGCGCGGCCCCAGGCGACACCAAGCGCGCATCACCCACGTGTGGAGGGGGAGAGGTGAGCCACCACCACCCGGAGTCCTGATGTTCCCGGGATGTGAGCTGCTCCGGGGGCGGCCAGATGCAGTTTCGGGGGCTGGTGGGCTGTTGAGGCTTTCAAGTGCCATCCTCGCTGCCAGCACTCCAAAATCCACGACGTGCCCAGATGTGCCAGAGGCCAGGGCTCCGTCTCTGAGCACCTCTGGCTGCCACCGCAGGTGGCCGCAGGCTTTTCGGAAGCGCCGGAACCCCTCCCATTCTCCCCTGGGATATGCTGGTGGACGCCGGGCCAGCAGCCAGCCGCACAGGCAGCGTCGCTCCTTCCACCCCGGCCCTGAGGGCAGCTGCACGCACTCCCCGCGTGCGGACTGATGTAGGACGGAGGCGCCTTCCCATCCCGAGGCGTCTACACTCTCAGCGTGAGGGCGCGCCCCTCTCCGGCCTCAGGCAGCCCGAGCTTGGAGGACATGGGGGCGGAGAGGCTCTGCCGTGGGCCCAGGTCTGCTCTCACCCCCCAGGGGCTGGGGCCAAACGTGACTTTTCTGGATGTGCTCAGTGGTGACTCTCGTCCAGCAGGGGTCCGTGTGTCCTGAGCCCCGGGGACAGGCCCCCCGTTGTTGGGAGCCGCTGAGACAGAGGTCCTCCTGCTTCTTTTGGAAGATGTAACTCTGGCTCCTCCGGCCACGCTCCCCGGCCCCGTCCATCCCTGATCACGCAGCTCCGGCAGGTGGCGGCCACATGCTTAAAATGCCCCCTTCCCCTGAACTCGCAGCTCCCACGCGCTGACTGGTTGGACGTGTCATTGGGTTTACTCGCTAGAAAACACCCCGGGACATAGGCCGGCACGGGCCCTGCCCAGGGCCAGGCCGGGTGGGGGCGGGGTCTGTGCTTCCCCGGCCCGTGTCGCCAGGCTTCCGTGTCCT